CATAACCATTCGTCCCCATAACTGGGGCACTGGTGGTTATACTGGGAAACTGGAGTGTCCAAGGGAATTGCTTGTGTGACTTGTGGTTAGCCAGTGGGGAGAGACCGAAGTCCTCTTAGTCTGGCTGGTTTGGTTTGCCTTGGAGGCGGAAAAACCCCAGCCTTGGGCTGTAACTGCCCTGTTTTTAGCAATTTGTCCTGAATTGGCACTCTCAGTTGGGTCCCGCCAGAACCGCATCATCACAATGAGACTCAAGAGAAAGTAAGGGTTACTTGCATCACCCAAAATGTGGATCAACAGCAGACTCTGCACGACTGCACCAAAGTGTTACTGTGCTATAAAAGGTGTCAGAGTAGCAGCCGTGTTAGTCTGCATCCGCAAAAAGAACAGGAGTACTTGTGGCACCTTAGAGACTAATAAATTTATTTTAGCATCAGCTTTCGTGGGCTACAGCCCACTTCATCTGATGCATGTAGTGGAAAATACAGTAGGAAGATAGATAGATAGATAGATACACACACACACACACAGAGAGAGAGAGAGAGAACATGAAACAATGGGTGTTACCATACACACTATAATGATCTTGGGAGACAGGCCAGTCCTTGCTTATAGACAGCCCCCAAACCTGAAGCAAATACTCACCAGCAACCACACACCACACAACAAAAACATTATCCCAGGAACCTATCCTTGCAACAAAGCCCGTTGCCAACTCTGTCCATATATCTATTCAAGGGACACCATCATAGGACCTATTCACATCAGCCACACTATCAGAGACTCGTTCACCTGCACATCTACCAATGTGATATATGCCATCACGTGCCAGCAATGCCCCTCTGCCATGTACATTGGCCAAACTGGACAGTCTCTATGTAAAAGAATAAATGGACACAAATCAGACGTCAAGAATTATAACATTCAAAAACCAGTTGGAGAACACTTCAATCTCCCTGGCCACTCGACTACAGACCTAAAAGTCACAATATTACAACTTCAAAAACAGACTCCAACAAGAGACTGCTGAATTGGAATTAATTTGCAAATTGGACACCATTAAATTAGGCTTTAATAAAGACTGGGAGTGGATGGGCCATTACACAAAGTAAAACTATTTCCCCATGCTTATTTTCCCCTCACACCTACAGTTCCTCATATCTCCTTCTCAATTGCTGGAAATGGGCCATTTTCATTACCAGTACAAACAGTTCTTTTTCTCTCCTGCTGATAAAAGCTCACCTTAACTGATTACTCTCCTTATAGTAACACCCATTGTTTCATGCTCCCTGTGTGTGTGTGTGTGTGTGTGTGTGTATATATATATATATCTTCCTACTGTATTTACTACTACAGGCATCAGATGAAGTGGGCTGTAGCCCATGAAAGCTTATGCTCAAATAAATTTGTTAGTCTCGAAGGTGCCACAAGTACTCCTGTTCTTTTTATAAAAGGTTTGTTAATAAAATACTCATATCCAGAGTGTCTGCATTTGAACAACACAAAGAGGTATGTTTGCCAAGGAGTAAGTGGGATTTTATTTTGTTTTCATTTACACACTAGATATTTGCATATCGTCGCATGGGGGGGAGGGGAAATATACATGCCAATGCTTTCATTTTCTCCAGTCTATTAGCTTCTTTGACTACTTTCCTACTAGCCACATGCAACCAGTAGAGATACTTTCTAAATCACTCACACCATTCAACTTCCCAAGTTCTATCCATGCCTGATTGTACACGTTTTCTTTTCTGTGTTGGAAAAGAAATTATCTGCCCCCTTCAATTTGCTGATTTATATTTATATATCCAGGACTTTTTGGCAATGCGCTGTTGAAATCAAAAATAGCAGAATCCCAAACAGGAACACAGTACTGATGAGATGTTTAACACCTCACCTCACCAAAAAAATATATTATTGATGTGACATCATGGTCAATTCAGCTGGCATTTCTGCATTCCTAGCTCCAGCACAAACCAGAGAAGTCTTGTATCAGGTGAGAGAGAGGAGTGTTGTTGCTATGCAGTGATGAAGCACAGCGCAACACTAACCCCATTTGGCATCCTCTCCCTCTTGCGCTCAAGATCTGCATTACTTTTTCAGCTAATTTTTGAATCCACCTCAGATATATGACAGAGTAAGACAGGACAGAGGGCAGGAGCAGGTGGGAGAAAAGAGGCTACTGAACAGAAGTGTTGAGACAAAGGAAGGAACAGACAAAGGAAGAGATACTAACAAAGAGATGGAGAAGAAACAGCTACAAAAAGGTAGAGGAAAGAAGAGGGAAAAGTAATGAGAAAGATGGGAGAATAGAGGAACCGACAAAGGCCTGGTCTGCATTAGTAGGAGCATTGCCAGAAGATCGAGGGAAGCGATTATTCCCCTCTATTCGGCACAGGTGAGGCCACATCTGGAGTATCGAGTCCAATTTTGGGCCCCCCCACTACAGAAAGGATGTGAACAAATTGGAGAGTGTCCAGTGGAGGGCAATGAAAATGATTAGGGGGCTGGGGCACATGACTTTTTGAGGAGAGGCTGAGGGAACTGGGCTTATTTAGTCGCAGAAGAGAAGATTGAGGGAGAATTTGATAACAGTCTTCAATTACCTGAAAGGGGGGGGGGGGTTCCAAAGAGGATGGAGCTCGGCTGTTCTCAGTAGTGGAAGATGACAGAACAAGGAGCAATGGTCTCAAGTTGCAGTGTGGGAGGTCTAGGTTGGATATTAGGAAAAACTATTTCACTAAGAGGGGATCGTTAGATACATTAGAGACCTTTTCCCCTTGGCTTATCCAGAACAGCTTGTCCAGTTCTGGGAGATCACTTCAGCCAGTTCTCTGGGATTCAAAATACTCAGTTTGACTCCAGATTTCATCACTCAGGTTCCTTTATTTGGCATACAGCAAAGCTATGTTGGTTTGATCAGAGTCAAGTGTAGGGGGTAGGTATAGGGCATACCACACATCCAAAGTTACACAGAAAACAGTTTTCTTTATATACATTACATTACACACTTTCAGATTGGATTGGTTACTTTGCGGGAACCAATCCTTGTACAGCATACTCTGTCCATATGGAACCTGATCTTTACATTCCAGGTTTATCTTGTCCATTGTCCTTAACATCCAGGTGTTGCTACTTATCTTAGCAAGCACAGACATCCTGACTCCAGCATACTGCTTGCAAAGCCCCTATTTACAACTTAATCTTCCATTTATCTTCTCAATCATACCCATGAGGATTGAGAAAATGAGGCAAGTTTCTTATGTCAAGCCAGGCCTACAATGGATACAATGATTTACAGTACTGGTCAAATTCTGTACTTCAGTTCCTAATTGTTCAACCAAATTTGGTGTGGCATGACATCAAGGTTTTATTGTCCTGAGTTTGGGATGGCCACATGGTTCATAAATCATCCCAAAGAAGTGCTGATAAAAAACAGTTATACCATCCGACACCATCAGGTTAATCCATATATGCTACATCAATGGTTTTCAACCTGGGGTCTGCAGACTACATCTAAGGGATCTGCAAAAGGTTGTTGTTATCATAGAACAGTGGTTTTAACCATAGTCCATGGACTATGTCTACAATTTCCAAAGGGGTCCACACCTCCATTCCAAATATTTTAGGGATTCATAAATGAAAAAGGTTGAAAACCACTATGCTGCATGTTACCAAAAAGCTATTTTAGACAGAGTTAAAGATATGTATATTGGGGTACTATAATTTGTAATCTCCACCTGTAAGACCAGATTCCTTAGTTAGCATGAGACCAAATGTACAGGTTCTAAGTGGAAAACAACACAAACAAATTAAACCATTTTCAACACCCTTTCAGGAGGACTCACTGCTGACAGCCATGGTTAGTGACAGGAACATTTCCTATTGTACTTCTAATCCAGTATTAAAACTGTATTTTAAGAAATATAAACCCTAGTCGTGTGTGCATAGCAAACATGGAGGTAACAAATACACAGAGCAAGGTGTCACCTTACCCAACCAATAGCCTCATCTGACTGACTCCAGTGCCCTCTGCTGGGATAAAGACTCCCAAAGAGCTAACAGTGGATTTTTTAAAAGAATATACTCAATTGAAAAAAGTGACAGGGATAAAATGAGACAGGAGACAAAAACCTGGATTAAACCAACCTGGAGCATTAAGATTTCAAATACATCATTCTTAGTCTATGCAAATATACTTTTAGGACCAGAGTGCTGACTTGTACATATACATAAGTTAACATGCTGGCCAAATTCAGAAGGTTAGATGAAAAAAATGTAAACTAAATCCAAGCTAGATTTTTTTGTTGGTTGGTTCGTTTATGGGGTTTTGGGGGGAGGGAGGGAGACTTGGTGGGGACGGTTGTTAAAAACAGTAGAGATCCTGTACTATGTAAGAATTAGATCACATAAAACCTGTCTACACTAGGAAATTACTTGTCCATTTTATGGGCAAAGGGTGAGCTGCATCAATATTATCAATAGTCCAGTGTAACACACACACACACACACACACACACACAACCCTTGCAAGACTTGCTATTGAAAATTTCAATTCTTGAACGTGAGAAAGAAGATTGAAGACACAAGCACGTAATCCTTTCACAAGCATGCGTCATCACCAACAATTAACTTTGATAAAATAGACAAGCAAAAGCATAAAACAACAAAGCAGAAGGCAAAGCTGAAAAACAACAAAAATGTAAAATGAAAAATATATTTGAAAATCAAAATACAAAAATTAATTCCAAAAACTAAAATCAACAATTAGCAACATATCAATTATTAGTCTCCAGTCAGGTATTTCAATGGGGCAAAATGCTTGCCCTATGTTCATACTGGCAGCAAAGAAACACTATTCTGTTCCCAACACATCTAAATGAGCTATTATGCAAAAACAGCAGTTATAAATACAGCAGCAAACCAAGAACATTAAGCACAGGACACAAAACCTTAATTTTGTGCTGTAATGTAACACTATTATCAAGATTACCCAGACTTTGCTGAAGGGTTCCCCGTCAAATCCAACTCATTCGGCAATTGGCTGCATCCTGAATCTTTGCATTTATCAGACAGAAAAATAGCTTAATGTCAACCTATTATCACCAGCTCCTGCACAAACAAATGTTGCAAAGCATCTTTCACAACACAGCACCAATCTTCTGCCACAAAAGCATTCAAGTTCCTGACTAACTTTGTCAAATCATCTGTCACATAATGTGAATGCTGACACTCTTCCTTCTGCTTTTGGCTAGGATCAGCAAAAACAAAATGCTTTGTTACGAGGGATCATAAACTCAATTGTTATTTTTGAAAGGAAAGCATAAATTTTGATGAACATTCCTTCTCTTTTAATAATTCACTTGGTATTAGAAAAACTGCAAATTTGCTGCTGAATTTTAATTTTATTTTAAAAAAAATGAATTAGGGAGTGAAGTAACTTTTCACATTTGCACACTTTAAAGCAGGAAGAAACATGTATGCTGTGCCAAAAATGGAGTACTTTTTTATAATGAAGACTGTCACGGCCTGTTCTGTACTATGTAACAGAATGGATACATCACACTAGAGGGGCAGACTGGATGGCAGAACTTACCCACCGAGGTCATCACTGCATGCTAACCATTGGTTAGTCAATCTAAGCAGTAGCCTCACCTATTGCAGCACAACCATTGTCAGAATAAACACATCACCATTGTATTTGAGGATGATAAGCAATACAACTATCCGGGCACATAGTCCCAAGGTTCAAAGCAACAACTCACTGTGTCACCCTGTGCTCATGTTCACAGGGTGCTGAGAGGCAACTCATCTGCCCATTCTAAGGATTGTGGGAGGAAATGATCTGGGGCCAGGAAATCCATTTTCTGGCAGACCCTGTGGTATTGTGTGATATGCAGAAGATAACGGATCCTGCTCACTCTAATAACCGACAGCTACTGTTTTTTATGGAGAAGTTTTTTCATGCCTCTGCAGAAGTTGCTGCCAAGAGATAGTGGTGTGTATTTCAGAGGCTGCTTTTAGCCTGGAGAAGATAGAGTCAGGGGATTACAAACAGAAGCACAAGAACAGAAGGGGACCATGGGGAGATGGAGGCACGGACCGAACGGATGTTTTTCTGTGGCAGATCTTTCCTATGCAGACCACTGCTTCTGGACCAAGGACCACGAGCACACACTGGTGGAACCATGTTGTGCTGGAAACATGGGATGATAAACAGTGGGTCCAGAACTTTTGTGTGGAAAGCCAGGGTCCACCTGGAGCTGAGGGGAGTTTATCTTAGGTCTTGAGTAGCAAAACACCTGAGGAGAGAGCTCATAACCACTCTAGAAGCATGGTGCATAGCACTGTGGAAGCTCACAACCCCAGACTGTTACCAACCTGTTGGTAATCAATTCATAGTAGGCAAATCCATGATTGGCACTGTGGCCATGGAGGTTTGTGAAGCAATTAATGCTGGACTGTCTTCCAAGGTTTTAAAAATTGGACAAATTTATTTAATAATTGTGGGGTTTGAATGGATGGGGTTCCTGAACTATGCAGGTGTGATCAATGGCACACACATACCCATCCTATGCAGCCATTTCAAGCAAGCAAGCACATTCACAGGAAAGGATACTACTCCAGGTCCTTGTAGAGTACCATGGCATATTCATCATGGATACCTATATTGGATGTAAAAGCAGGGTGCATGATGCTCGAGTTTTCTGGAGATCTGGCCTATTTCAGCATGGGCAACTGTGTGTGAGTGGGGTGTGCTCTTCCTGGGGAGACCAGGCTGGGATGGAACAGAGACAGAGGACTGGCTGGAGTGTCTGAAAGCAGCTGGGCCCAGAGAATGCTTGCCTTAGGAAAAGATAAGCAAACAAACAGCCTGTTTATTGTTTTCTCTGAAATGTTTTGGTTCTAAAATAATACTTTGCTTTAAGAAGGCTGCCTGGGCACTGTATTAACCACTAGTCATGGCTCCCGAAAGGAGCAGCACTGCATGTATAGAGTCTTAGTGAGGCCTGGCTGAGGTAATCACAGTTCATGCACAGAAGACTGCAGCCCACAGCTTGGTCTGAAAGCAGAATTGTGTGATCCCACTTAGAGAGGTGATAGGCCCGAGGCCTGAGAGAGGGTGTACTCAAGGAGAACCGGAGGGGTCAGAGGTGCAGTTAGCCCAGAGTTAACAGGAAAAACTAGACTGACACCTCCTCAAGTTAGGGTTGCCACCTGGGCAGTTTTCATTCTGTCTGGCTAACTAAAAGATATAATGTGACAGTTTTTTCCAGCCTGCTTGGGAGGGGACACGTTAGAGCGCTCTGATACACATCTCCATAATCCAGACTGCGACACTGGCTTAGGCTAAGGTAAGAAAAATGATGATAAACGTACACATATTGTAGGGCTTTTTTTGTGTCAAATGGTTCTCAACCATTTTAGTAATAAGTAGCTGTAGTCGGCACTAAGACCCTTTTTGTTGGTGGGGGAATGGCTTATGGCTGGTTTTTTTGCAACTCAAGAGATGACAATCCTATCTCAGACACTAGGAGTTGGTTCAGTTCTGTCGCTGTAATTTAAGAGGAAAACTCATCCAATTTAGCTTGTACTGAAGTGTAAGATTAGATGAGACTAAATATACATGCATGCGGTTGCTTTGAAATCCTCTCTAACGCTTTACTCCAACTACTAAATAAAAATGCTTTGTTTTAAGAAGGCTGTTGGTCACTTTATTATTGGTCACAGGTTCCTAAAGGAAAAAAGTGCAGATGCTCAAACCCAGTCTAGTCTGCAGGCTGCTACGTGGTTGGTATATATACAAGTAGCATACTCAGGTCCCACACAAAGGGCTGGTCCACACTAACCCCCCAGTTCGAACTAAGATATGCAACTTCAGCTACGTGAATAACGTAGCTGAAGTCGAAGTACCTTAGTTCGAACTTAAAGGTACTTACCAAAGGTCCACACGCGGCAGGCAGGCTCCCCCATCGACGCCGCATACTCCTCTCGCGGAGGAGGAGTACCAGCGTCGACGGCGAGCACTTCCGGGATCGATCTATCGCATCTAGACAAGATACCGGAGGTAGGTATAGACGTACCCTAAGAGTTGAAGGATTGCGAGATTCCACCCCAAGTCAGGTAAGGGCAAGAGCCCTGCCTCAGCGCATCCCTTCAGATGATACCAAAAGTGGGACAGATGTGCAGCTAGCCCTATAACTGTGACATATGCATAAGAGCCGCTGTTTTCTGCTAGTTTGTGTTCAGATGTTATATCCTGCATAAGATTAAAAAAAAATAAACCAGTTAACTCTAACAAAAAAAAACTGACTACAAATTCAAACTGCAGACATCAATTGTTGTATTGATTGCTGGTAGTTTAATAGATAAGAAACTGAATTGTATCAGCTTTACTGTATTCTCATAACATCTGATTTTGATGTTAAAATCTTCTGTTCTTGTACTTGGTCAGGAGATTGAGAAACTCAAGCATGTAATCCTTTCCAGTAGTTTGGTAGCCCCAAACCATAGTGACTGGCATCCTGTAAATACACAGCTGGTGTGCAATTATCTGGAAAGAGAGACACGCACATTTCATTCTGCCACTTACTAGTTTGGTCAGCCTTGTTCATTGCAAAATATTGTTGTGCTCCTGAAAAGTGAAGCAAGTAATAATTATTGTCCTTTTTCCCGGATCTGAAGCAAGTGATAATTACTGTCCTTCCTCCCTGACTGCCATTAAAGTCTGTAGCCTATCTGGAATAAAACAGATTGCTTCCAAAACAGATGTTGCTGTTAACCCAAATGGGGAAATTTCAATACCCAATTCTGATGGGACACTATGCCAGCAGTTCACCTTTAAAAATCGTGCTCCAAATATTCTAAATTATCCTCTAATCTATCCAGGTTCTTACAGCAATGTCCATTCAACACAGTTTCTCAAATTCCTCCAAGCCTTCTACGGATAAAGTCTCCGTTAGTCTCACATATTTATGAGAAGCTCCCAGTAATCCTGATATAGTCTCAATTTCTGTAACCCAATTGCCCTGGAAAATGCAACATTTTAAGGGGACTTTTATGATCCTTCAGAAGTTGTTGGTCAAAATTGTTTTTGATTAAAAATTGGGTTTTCAACTAAAATTTTTCATGAAAGAAGTGTTGGCTTTCTGGGGAAAAGTTTGATTTTTCATCAAAAGCTAAAAAGCCAAAAAACTAAATATTACAATTTGGAAATGCTGCCGTGGAGCTTCATGGGAGTTTTAGTTTGGTTGCCCCATGTCCTCATTCTCCTCTATAGGCCAGGCTCTTTTGTCAGACTACATCTCCCATGATACACGTTGGCCCGGGACTCTCCAACAGGGAGACCATAGTGCCTCATGGGAGATATAGTCTGACCAAGATGCCCAGCATATAGAGGAGGGGGGGGGAAAAAAAGGATACGAGTCACTGTGGCAGCATTTCCGAATTGAAATTTTACAGTTTTCAGGCAAAGTTTTCCAGTATTTGAATTTTTATTGAAAAACTGAAATTTTCCAGATTTTTTTTTTCTGGTCACCTGTACGTGTAGCACTTAGGAAGAACCATAATCGGTACTGTATAAAAACCTTAAGTGGATAAGATTGTTTTTTCCATTCAACAATGAAATCTAACAAAAACAGATGTTTGCGCAGGTGAACTGTATTAATGCCTCAGAACATAAACAAGGAACTTGAGAGGAAAACAGCTCCTCTCCTCTTTACTGCTCTGAGGAGAAGAAAAGCACAAGCCCTGCACCCCCAATGCTTTTACAGGTGAACTCGCGTGAGATGGATGGACATGGGAGATGTATGAAACCAGGTTCTTGAAGATGAAGAGCTATATTGCCTGGATAGTGCAAGCTAGTTTGCATTGCCCACTGTAGTTACTGGTCCTATTCTGAAGTTACAGGGATGGCTATGTTAGCTAATGCAGTTAGTAGACACCTTTCATAGGCACTAATTTAACCAATAAAAGTCTAAGTTACCTATGAAAACCAACTATATAAAACAAGCTATCTATTTAAAATTAAACATCCTGGGCTAAGTTATATTACAGTAACAAATATTTGCTTTACTGTGAATGTACACTGGATAATGTATGTGAAGTTTTGAAAGCTGGTTTGAGAGAGATAGCAAGCAAATGAATGTAAAAAAAATGTTTCATCAGTGACTCAATACGGTATAAGTAAGGCTACGATTATGTCATGGAGGTCACGGAATCTGTGACTTCCACTCACCTCTGTGACATTTTCTACCGCCGGGCTGGAGCTCCCAAACAGCCTTCCTCCCCTCCCCCCCATAGCTCCCAGCCCCTGCACTGGTGGGGCAACCCTGCAGCTGTCCAGCTGTAGTTGGTGGCAGGCAGATCCTGCAGCTGCCAAGCTGTGGCAGGTGGCTGGGGGACCCTGCAGCTCCCAGCCGTGGCGGGCGACCCCCATTAGAGCCCAGCCACCTCAGGAGTGAGGAGACCCGCAGCCGCCCAGCCCTAGGGGCAGGAGGACCCTGTAGTTCCCACTCCCCACAACAGTGGGGGACCCCGGAGTGCCCACTGACCGTAGCAATGGGGGACCTGGGAGCCCAGCAGCAGTGGATGCTGAACCTGCCTCCCTATTTTGTCAGGGATATTGTTAGTGAAAGTCAGGGACAGGTCACGGGCTGCCATGAATTTTTGTTTATTGCCCACGACCTGTCCATGACTTTTACTAAAAATATCCGACAGAAACTATAAGCTACAAATAGAAAGGGGATGGTAGAGCCAACAATACGAAAAAAATATGTTAAAGGCAAAAAAAGTACCACTGTTCAAGTTATATTCCAAAGTTTATTAAGATGAGAGTGATTTTAGTGTTATAGAAAATTACAGGAGATATTTAAAGTTACACAGGAGTCCAAGAAAATAAAGAATTTTGAAAAAATTTGATGCATTTCAAAAGTTGCCTCATTTATCCATTTCTGCCAGAAGTCTACCCACAGAGCTGTGGTTTCAAATGCAGGAGATGCAGAATTCCAGCTAAAATACGTGTTTTAATATGGTTCTTGGCTTAAGCTGTTCCTGCTTTTGGAGGTGTACTTTGGTCTGAAGAGTGAATATTTAACCTGCAAATGAATGCGGTGGGATTCCTTTCACCCCAAGTCCAGTTATCTATTTAAAAATAAGGGAGAGAGAGAGAGAGAAGATAATTGTGATGATTCATGTATCTTTCCACAGAGTAATTTGTTTTAGGACTGCGACCAACTTGATATCCTGCAATTTTCTACATTACAGCCCATCACCAGATATTAATTTCAATCCACTGCTGTTTCCAAAGAACTGTAATATCTAAGCCATGGTCCATTCTCCTGACAACCCTCTTTCAAACACACTTGGGCCTCAATCCTACAACTGGATTGAGTACAGCTACAGGGGTGTGCCTGCATGCAGTTAATTGCAGGATCAGGGCTTTAAATCCACAAGGTCTGTGCAACAGGCTGGCCTGCCCCTACAAGAGCCAGGAGGCCTGGGGCTAGCCAACCCTGTTCAATCAGCCCTGCCCGTGCAACAATTAGTTGCCTGCCAGGATAAGGACTAATTGAGTCAGGGGACAAGGCTGAAACACCTGGGACCCATTAAAGGACTGAGAAAATTCAGTCTGGGGAAGGAACCACAGGGAGCAAGATGGGCTCCTGTGAAAGGCCCTGAAGTAGGGTCTGGAAGAAACAAGAGATTCAACCCTCTATCCTAGGGTAGGGAAGACTGAAAGGTAGCCCAGAGGAGCTGAGTCTGTGAGGGGGGCTCCAGGGAAAGCAGCCTGAGAGTCAGTGCTCTATCCCAGAGCAGAGAGACTTAAAGGTGGTCCAAAAGGGGCTGGGAACTGAGCCCAGAGGATAGGCCGAAGAGGAGCCCAAGCAGGGCAAAAGAACTTTGTTTGGGCTTCCGTTTCGCCAGAAGGGGGCTGAACTCGGAGTGTGAGTCACATGAATCTCTGGGAGAGACAATTGAGGCAGGGGGCACGTGCAGCACCACACTTGGTGAGCAGAGGGCGCTACAAGGCATGTGTGCCCTATGCCAGTCACCAATTAAAAAACAAACTAGCAAACTAAATTATAAATAACTGTTTGGTAGATAACACATTGTCTCCTACGTTGTCACTGATTAAAACAAAAATTCTCTACAAGTTTTTGCCCTGCTAATGTTGGGAATTTTTTTAAAAGTAGAGGGTTTTTGGTACAGAAAATGATGATTGTACAAGACATTAGCTATGTCAGTATTATTACAAGTTTAGAACCAGTCTACCATGTAAACATGAAAAGACTAGCAATTTTCTAAATACAGCAGTAGGGACCAAAAAACTAAAAGTAAAAAAACCAAGAACAATAGTTTTAAGTGATATGGTATGTTCAGACTGACCTCCACTTGACTTCAAATCAAAATGCATAAGAAAATTCTTTCTGGCCTTTTAACAGAAAGGAAATAATTTAATCACCTTGAAAATACCACCAGCCTGTGGTTGCCGTGAAAACGATTCATCATCCATTCCTTGACAGGCAGAAGTCACATACATTTCTGAATAATCCTTTCCACCAAAGCAGCAGGAAGTTGTCTTGTCAACAGGTAGCTTCACAGTCTGGATTCTTTTTCCTGGAGGGGAAAAAAATAGCTTTTTGTTGGTTTATTTTCTACAAAGAATTTAACAAAATTGCCAGTAACCAGAACCTATGTTGCACAGAAATACAGGGTTTGGGGTGGAGGGAAAAGGGGGAGGCTTGTGTAATTTAGCAGGCTGAGTGTGAGGTTGGGAAGAATTCTGAGTTCCATTCTTGATTCTCTCACTTACTCCCAGTATAGCCTTTGGCAAGTCACTTAATCTCTGTTTCCATAAATGTGGCATGATCCAAAGCATACTGAAGTCTGTAGGTGTCTTTTTCCATTGTGTTAATAAATATTAGCCTTTCATTATTTTTGTACGTTAAACTCTCATAATTCTGTTATCTGTTACCCAAAATCCTTTTTATATTGTGTGCCTATAAATGCAGTCCCCTGTACCTATGAAGGTGAAAAATTGTATCCTTAAACTGAACTTAGAATGTGAGCAACTCTCAGGAATGTATCTAATTAAATATTGGGATGTACCTAATTATTCCCTGAATCTCTCAGTCAGAGAGTCCAGATGACCAGGAAGGTACCCCTCAAAATTAATAAAGGGACCCTACAGAAGTAAATGTTATAATAAATAAGACTGGGTACTTGATAAGGGCTGCTTATGATCCAATTAAGTTCTGTGATTGGTAAGACGTATTTGTTATTGCAGATGTTTCTTTAATGAATGAAATAATGGCCCCTTGAAAGATGTTTTAAGTTTTAACTCATTAGCAACTACCTGTGGCCACAGCTGTCAGTAATAATGACTGGGTCAAAAGTCCCTTTGGATTATCAATCAAGACTGAGATACTTATATAATGTCTTTTTATGGTAAGAGGTAAACTGAGATATCAAACTGTACACATTGTGGGAAAGTAATTTTTCACTCCAAAAGGAATTTCTTTTTCTTACACCCTACAAAAGGAAAGATTCTGGGAGTTAGATTGCAAATGAAAACTGCCAGCATTTCACCACTTACAGCGGGGGGGGGGAAGGGGGAGAACAGAGTGTCAGCTATTCACCATTCACAAAGACTGGTAAAGTAAACTTTGCTTCTGTATTCTGCATAGTGCTGTATTAATCTTTGATAATCTTTAAATAATTCCATCTGAGCCTGTTATTTTGACATCCTGTATTATTAAATTCAAACATGCAACAATAGGCTTCAATGGGCTTTGGATCAGCCCCACATCAAACAGGGATGATAATGCTTATCTGAACTTTGTAAAACACTCAGATGTCTATATAATTATTATAGAAACTCAGGATACTGACATACCAGTGGTCCATTTAGCCCAAGTATACGGTTTCTGGCAGTAGCCAGTACCAGATGCTTCAAAAGAAGTTTAAAAAAAACTTCATAACGAACATGTATACAGGGGGAAATTCTTTCTAATTTCAGGCAGTAAGTACTTGTCTTAGGCCCTGAATCATGAGGGTTTATACCCATTACATATTTTATCCTATTTATCATATAGATATTTTATACTTTTCTTGAATTCTGCTAAGGTCTTGTGTTTTCTTTAAATACATTTCCTCTCTCTCCCCCTCCTTTATGTTGGTAATCCTTGCAGAGAGAAAGAATGTAATGATGTATTGAAAGTTTAAAATATAACATTTTATGGTGAAATACTTCAGGAGTGAAAACTCCTAGCTCCACTGTAGTCAAAAGGAGTTTTGCCATGACTTCACCAGGCCCAAGATTTCACCACTGTGTTTTAAATAAACAGATAATTTTGTTTACTATTTTAGTTGCCAACAAAGCATTTTTGCCTCACCCCACAAGCTACTCTTATTTCCTTTTCTAAATGAAGTACCAGCACAAACAACAATGGTTACTTGGTCCATGTTTGATAATCAAGTCCTTAAATGAGATTTCAAAAAAGGATGAGTGAGATTTTTCCATGTCTCATTGAAACACTTTGCAAATTTCTTGTCACAAGAGTTAGATGCATTTAAAAAACTACCTTAAAATTAATCCCACAAAGATAAGTCTGCTTCACTAGTGGACAAAAAAGATTCCCATGTGTATTCTGAATAGTCCACATGGTTTGAGAAGCATCTTGGGCTCCCTGCATCTATATAATAAATAGCATCTTACATTTTTACAATACCTAAAATAAACTGAAAACTGAGGGCATGTCTACACATCCCCACAGTTCAACTATGGGGGTGTGAAATGCAGCACACTCTACTGTGCTGCGCTGTAACTGCAAGTGCAAACTAAAGGTTCCTATTTTGTCTGAACTATGCAAACTAGATATCTTTTGGTTTGCGCTTGCATATACTATAATCCCGAGGGCCACCTGACCACTATGTAATCCAGTTATCTCCAAGAATTGCTTAAAAAAAGGATGCCAAATAAACAAGTTTTCTTGTCTATCCACCCCCACACCCAATGCTCCCAAATCCAAATTTCACTGAATAATACCTGAAAATCTCCTTTCTAAAAATGTGTCATCTTCACCTTAGCTGAATTGTTTCATTATTTTTTTCTGCCACTGGCTAAAAATAAAGCCATAGAACTTTTTATCAGCCAGTTTGCAAATAAAAAGCCATCAAGTGGCCATTAACCACCCAAACCATAGAAGCGAAAGACATCTTTGCTTAGTTCAAACTGACAAAGGTGAGAATATTAGTAATCAAAAATAAACTAAGTGATAGGTACAGACTAAATATATCAAGTTAAATCCCTGGACTTTCAAATGTGTAGTCTGAATAAGACAGTAACACCATACTCCTTTCACTGAGAAGGACAAGTAGTGGGGAGCATCTATTCAAATAAAGACAGCAAGAAAACGAAACTCTACAATGGAGTAAAAAACAATCAGAAAACAAAAACCCAACCACACACAAACATATTGTCAAGTGTCAAATGTCCAAGCCCACATCAGCCAAGTACATTTTGACTCCAGTTCTCTATTGACCTAAACGCCCTATAACTTTCTCCAGAGAAGAAAAACATAGGAATTGCCACTCTAGATCAGAGTGGCATCTAGTCTGATATCCTACCTCCAGCAATGCATAGCACCGGATACTTCAGAAGAAAGTGCAAGAAACACTATAATGGATAATTGTGGAATAACCTACCAAAAGGAGAAGTTTCTTCCTAAAACCCATCAGTTACTGGTTTCCTTATGCTCTTACATGTGAGGGTTTATTCTCCTTATCTATATAAATCCTTATCCATTCTGCTCTTGGACTCAATTCTATCTCATGCCAGTGAGTTCTATAGGTTGTGTTTAGGTAGCTTTTCTCAGCTTTCAATATGTTACTTTCCATTTTCATTGAAAATCCCTTGTACTTGTGTTATAAGAAAGGGTAAATAGGAGCAGCCAACTTACTTTTTCTATACCAGTCATTGTTTTGTACACCTCTACCATGACCCGTCATATTCATCCCTTCAGTAAACAACCCCAAACTTTTCAATCTCTTTTAATTGTCAAATACTTTTAATTGTCTTCATCACCCATCACTGAATGGTTTTTACTTCTGCTATTTTTAACAGAAGAGAATACAGTATTTCACGTGTGTGCCAATGATTTTTATTAACATTTTCAGTATTATTTTCTATTCTATTTCTTGTGCATTCACATTCTGTTTGCATTTTTGACAGCTATTGTGCATTAGACAGGGAGGTTTTCATGGAGCTGTCCACAGTAATGCTCAGGTCTTCTTCCTAAGTAGTCAGTTAATTCAGAATCAAGCAATATGTATAGACAATACAATTAAAATACGTACTACCTTGTCTCTGTCAAAATAGAATTTCATAGGCGTTCATGCTGCCCGTTCACTTAGCTTTGTTAGGTCTCTCTGTAGTTCCTTACAGTCTTTTCTGAGCTTGACTTAACTTAATCATACCTCTCATACCAAGTCCCAAATGTGGGAAGTTACATGTGACAAAGATTCAAAATGAGGGAGGCAAATACCTGACTGTGCACATACGAATTATTCATGCTGGAAAGTTAAAATGCTGTGGGACTCTTTAAAGAACTTTATAACCTCCGTTCCATGATTCTATATTTATGGTATAGATAATTTAAACAATAAAAGTGAGTGGAACATAGGTAACCTTTGTCCATGTGTCAAAATGGGGCACTATCTAAATAAATTTGTGTCATCAGTCATTTTTGTCACTTCACTGCTTACCCCTTCTTCCAGACTATTTACCAATATGGTAACTCCTCAATTAAAAGAAGAACAGGAGGACTTGTGGCACCTTAGAGACTAACAAATTTATTAGAG